TCATCTCCAAAGTGTGAGAGATTTAAATACAGAATTCCTATTCAAGCAATTTCCATTGTTCCATTGTTCAAAAGGATGGATTAACAGTAAAATAGAATAATGATTCTTTATTCAACCTCATTCAGGCTGGAGAGTGAACAGTGAATAGTGAACAGCACAGTTTTTAAATTGGACTTCTCCACAGACATTTTCTAATAATACTCCTCAGCCCATCGCCCCACCACCTTTGCTCAGCTCCACTGGCTCCCTATCCCTCGAAGATCAAATTCAAGATCCTTGTCCTCACCTACAAATCCCGCCAAGGCCTCAGCTTTTTGAGACATTCACTTATGTGAAAAACACTATGTAACAAGAAATGTCAGTATAATACAGTATATATAAAATGCCTTTCACATCTCTATGAACTCCAGCAACCTGGCCACTGACTCGGCTCAGCGAATACTGGCCTGCTTCATGTCTACTGCCTGATCCATCCCACTATCAATGAGTGAGCTTTCAGCCATTCTGCCCCCACTCTCTGGAGTTCCATCCAGGAGTCCCTCTGCCTTGCCTGCTCCCTACCTACTTTTAAAGCCTGCCTTTATACTCATCTTTTTGACCATACATTTGGTCACCTTTACCTCTATCCACCCTCAGGTCCTCCCCACTCATTTTTTGGAGCTCAGTCAGTTGTGTGAAATGCTTTGAGAGATGAAAGGCAATATGTATATATATATATATACAATATATATATGTGGAAATTGTATTCTACTTATACAACTCAGAAATTCCAATTCATTAAATATCATTATCCATGCCAGAATCAAATTGAGTTGTTACTTTTTACAAAAGACTTATTTTTAATCAAATTAGTTGACAAAAATATCTCCAAAATGGTTATATTTCTGCTACAAAATTAATCATTCAGAATGGACACTACTTTAAGTTTGTGCAGTTATCAATATACATTGTTATAACAAACTCTGTTACATATGTTTATACGGCTTAAGAACAAATCTTATTATCAATCCACATTTTGTGTATATGAAATGAGGCAAAGAGACATTAATAAAATATCCAGGTGGGCTTCAGAATACTGACATTTCTTGTTGTATAGTGCTTTTCACAGAAGGTGAATGAATGTCTCAATGTGCTTCATAGAGACAACAGGGAGTTCTGCAGGAGAATTTAAAGGTGTTGACCTATGACATGGGAATGAGAAAGGTTTTTAAGATGGCTTTGATGACAGGAAGAGAAATGACAAGCAAAGGGATTTTGGGAGAGAGTTCTAGATTGGGAGCATTGTGGCTGAACAGTCGACTACCAATGGTGGGAAAGAGGTAGTGAGGAAAGAGCAGTAAAACTATATCAAATGCAAGGATTATTGTTATTATTATTATTATTGTAAACCTGAGTGAGAAAGCACTGGGCTCTGCCAGGATTATAAGGCTGGAGGAGTTGACAAAGGTGAGGATGAGCGAAGGAATAAAGGGATTTGAACGTCAGGATGAGAATCTGGGTAACCTGGCGAAGATGTGATCACTGGGCATGTGGATCCTGATGTGGCAGAGAATAGTGTTGCAGAGTTTTAGATAAGCTGGAGGGTGGACCTAGGGAGGCTGGTGAAAGAATTGTAGGTGTTTAACCTCAAGGTGATGTAGGTACGAGTGAGGGTTCCAGCTGAGGAGGAATTGATATAAGAGCACCATTTGGCAATATTCTGGAAATCAAACAAAGCATTTTTAATCAAGAGTCAAATGTTGTGATTGTAGCAGAACAGGAGTTCAAATAAAATGGCATGAAGTATCCAGGAGATTGATTAAGTTAAGAATCTTCTAGGACTTGATGTATGACAGTCACCGTGGTATTGAGGGTAGAGGTGAAGAGATAAAGTTTCTGTTGTAGACACATGTTTGGAAACTGACCTAATGACTGTGTTGATGTTGACAAGGAAGAGCGTATTGATAAGAAATAGGAGCGGAACAAGAATAAAGCATGATTTGATGGGCAAAGAAAGCAGGGTGGGGGGAAGAGAGGACTGAGGCAGCCAGATGGATGGCATGGATTTTGGACACAAGGAAGGACATGACCTTCTTGTATATTGAATAAAGTACTTAGCCCGATGTCCCATCAAGAGACTGAAACATAACAAGGTTTAAAAAAGAATTGGATAAACACTTAAGGAACAATATAAAAGTGCACAGAGAGTGAAGGGAAATTCGAATTAGAATAGCTAGCTTCAGTCATGGAATAAGTACCACCATGGACTCATTGGGCCAAATGATCTCCTCCTCTGTTGTAACTTCTGTGATTCTATGATATTAAATACCTCCAAATCATCAAACATCATTTGTGGATGCAACAGTCCTCCAAAATGTCCTCTTAGGCACAAAGCCTTACTTTCCCTTCCATACCACATATAACACTGCATTAGGATAAGGCACTTCAGATGAAAGATGTGAGTAGCAAATGGAATAAATACTGCTATAGCCTTTTCTCTGATTTAAATGCAATGATTATTTTTCACATAAATTTATCTTTGCTCCACAATAATTCACGTGCCTGAATCACCAAGTCCCTGTGAGAATAAAATAAAACATCCCTTTTCACATTCTTTTCCGCTTTGTTAATGCCTGTTAAATTATCAATCAACTTCCTTGTCTTATGGAGGCAATTGCTTTCAGCGTTGTGAGATTACAGTAGAGTGACACCTGGTGGGGGGATCACTGACATTTGCCTTGACTCTCAAAATCCATCAAGAAACCAAATAATAAAAGCATTACACATTGTCAATTTTGCATTCATTATCAGTATGACAACCCATGATGCTGAAATGCATTAAGATTTGACACAGTTTTAAAGCAAAACTTTACAACAGATGTCAGGCTCAGCAAGAAACAGTTAAACCATTAATTTAAATATGGGGCTCTTGGGCAGTTAATATATTAGTCCTCCCCCACCACACACGCAAACAAACTAAAAATACAACACATTATATCTCGCCGTGAAATCAAAGGTCAGGTTTATTCTCACTGAACAAGTGGCAGCTTTTTCGATTTGTGCTCACCAAGCTCAAAACATTGCAAGCAGGGCAAAGAAGGGTAAATCTATATAATTATAACCTATATTTTTCCAGCACCTTATATAATCACCTCATCGTGTTTCAAAGCACTTCAGCAGTAATTACTCTCAAGTGTAGTGACTTTCCAGGGAGAGCCATTTTGCACGTAGCAAGCTCCCACAAATAATCTTTGAGCTGAATAATCAATTAAACCAAGCTGACTTTATCTTCCTTATAATACAACAACTACAACAACAAATTGCATTTATATAACACCTTTCACATCAGGAGGACATCCCAAGGTACTGGATAATGTGCACCCAAGCCGAGGGTTGGGATCAGCGAAGGGTAGAGTGCACAGGGTGTGCAGAGGGAAGGTGGCCCAAACCACATTCAATTCTTGAGATGGGCCTTGAAGGAGGGCAAAGTGGAGAGGCACAGGGATGGAGTCTAGAGGTTGGGGGCAGAAAGGCTGAAGACCCAACCGCCGATATTGGAGCAGGCAATGCAGGGGATGTGGAGTAGACCATTGCTTGCCGAGGAGAGGGAGTGAACAGGTTGGTGATGTTCTAATAGGCTTAATAGACAGGGAGACCCAACTCAATCTTTTCAGAAGATTGAAAATGTCAAGCCCCTACCTGGGGCTTGAACCCATAGCCTTCTGGCTCAAAGGTAATCGTGCTACTAACTTGTTGTTGTTGTTGAACCCACCTGACACCTAATTACAATAAAACCACAAAACACACAGTCACTACACTTTACATTAAATCTTGTGAAGCACTTTGAGACATCCTCCCAACATGAAGGGTACTAACCAAATGTAAGGATCATTATTAGCAGAAGAAATAATATATACCATGCATGACTTGCTTTAAAATTCAGTTGATCAGGCGCATGGATCTTTGGAGTGTTACCAAATGATCTATCTGTACCTACAGGGTACATTTACAGATATACATAAATATGGTCTTTGGAGTGTGCCATTAACCAGATGTTGGTGGCAACGTTTGTTAATGTTACAAAACAAGAAGATAGATCACTTGGAATATGATTTTTTTTAAAAATCATTGATTTCACAAACACCTGTAACACTCACAAACCGCCCAGTGCCATATTCTGCACTGAAGTATTTTCTTCAATTAAAAATTCCTACTCTTGTGAGCTGCTCCAATTAATCAGTGAGCGGGTGGATTAAATGTACGATCGATAGACCAGGGAGATTGCAGTTTGTGTGGTTGTGGGGCAACCATACAATTTGGCAATATGATATAGGAGTTAGGAGAGGGGAAATTATTCAGGGATCCTGATCCTTATTCTTCTTTAAACAGCTCTTATTGTACGTGCACACACGAGGACTTGATTCAGCACAACACAGTTATTCTCTCTGATCAGTTTGATTTTAGTGAAGAAGAACTGTGTGTGTGGATGGGGGGAAGGGGGGTTACAGTAGTAATCAAAGACACCATCTCTGGTTCATTTTTCACAGCTCTCCTGAATTATGCAAAATAAACCAGGGATGGCATTCTTGATTACTAATGTAACACCACCCCACCAACACCACCACAAACACATACACCCAACACAGACTGAAAAATGTGAATGACTGGTGAGAACTGGCAGAACATAACTTCCTACTTCTTTCCAGCCTGAGCAGATATCCTTAACTCCTACCCTTTGCTTTCAGTTTCCTAACTATTCTTTAATCCATTCTGCTACCAGTGCCACAAATCCACAAAACCCTTATGTGTCCAAGGGCCTTGGAGACATCCTTTGGAAGTGAAAGACATTGTATAAACGTAGTTTGTTGCTGTGTATTTTGTGGGCCAAAGATCCTTTTCTGGTTCCATGAGGTCCTTTGCCCTTAGATCTGCTTTCAGAAGCTCCAAAACGTTGCTTTTTACAAAAAAAAGCTTAAAAAATGATATTGAATAAGAAAAGCATAAAACAGAAGTTTACTTACCATGCCTGACCCTCAACTCCTGTCTGTACACAGCCGAACACAAACTGAAAGAGTTGTTTTTTCACTGACTCCAGCAAAGGTTACACGTTGTGTAATACCGACTGTTGCAGCAATGTGTCTGCAAAACAGTAAATGATTAACTTTTTTAAAACAGAAAGTATGAATGCAACATTTAAAATATGTATGCATGAAGTATGGATAGTATTATTAAAACTGAGGTTCGATTAACAAGATTCATAGATGAAAGGGGTTTAAACCCACAGCCTTCAAACTCAGAGGAGAGAGTGCTACTGAGGGAGCTAGGCTGACACCCAAGTTTCTAAACTTTTATTGCATCTTCGTATTAATTTGAAAGGTGTCATAAATTTTGGACAAATTATCGACCTGCTACTGTGCTGCACAGATACCAGATTATTCTTGGGGTCACTTTTCTCACTCTCTCCTTTCCCAAAGGCACTGATTATTTGTAGGGTACAGTTGTGGTTAATGCATAAATAATGTACACATATAATATTTTCTTGACGTGTGGAGGGGGTATCACATTCTTCCTGACTGCAGAAGAAGGAACCATGGATGTTATATAAGCTGAATTTTGGCTGAAAAAAAATATTGCTGCAAGCTTTCATATTAACATCAAACTATGACCATATCGTAAATCCTTCCTTATAATTTACATGAAAACTAAGAGTAAAATAAATATTAAGTATCCGATGAGAGCATGGCAATGAAAATATAGAGATGTGCACTATGTGAGACTTGAGGCTTGCCTTACAGCTCCACACTGAGTGTGTACGTATTTTGACAGCCAAAGCTAGACATTTGACTGCCTGGAACAGCTTGAGATATAAAACCAAATTGCAATGTCAAGCTTCTTCATTTACTGGTAAACACTGCCACCTGCTGGCAACAGATTGCTTTACAGGACACAAGAACATTTTGGGACATTGCCAACAACAATAATAATAATCGTTACATTTGATAATAATAATAAATAATAATCCTTGCATATGATATAGCGCTTTTCACGTCTTTGATAGTCTCAAAGCCCTTCACAGAATATACTGGAAAGTGAATTGACTATTATTGTGGGTGAAGTGCGGCAGTCAATTGCGCACAGCAGTGTCCCACAAACAGTCGCGGATTGAGTGACTAAATTACCGTTTTTATTTTTTCTTCAGGGATTATTATCAGGCGTGTGGAGTACGGAAACTTGCCCAAGGTATCGCCCTACCGGGAATCGAACCCTGGTCTCTCATTTGCGAGGCGAGTGCTCTAACCACTGAGCTACAGGACTCCACTTGATAGAGCGCCTTATCACATCTTCGAGACATCTCAAAGCACTTCACAGAATATCCTAAAAATAATCCTTGCATTTGATGCATTTATACTAATAATAATCCACGTCTTATCATATCTTTGAGACGTCTAAAAACGCTTCACAGAATATACTGTAAAGTGAATTGACTTTATATTTTGGGGGTGAAACAAATCATCCCTTTTAGTTTTTTCCAAAAGGACAATATTTAGATGCCAGCCCATCCCTTTAATTTAAGTGTTTAAAACTCGCGCTTCAAGTTGTACATCTTCAATAGATACATTTGCAGGACACATTTTATTGAGAGAACATGATGCAAAGAATTAGTTATGTTGCTCAGTAAAGTTACAGATGTTGTGTTTATGAGAAGAAAATCACACCAAAAGTGTCTGCAACATGGTAGTAATTTTAGCAACCAGTATGAAGGTTATCCCATATATTCCTACATCGTTTAAAGCATAACTCATAATATCTATGTGTCAGCCTAGCTCAGTTGATAGCACTCTTGCCTCTGAGTCAGAATGTTTGTGGTTACTTCAAACAAATGGCCCTTCATTTTGTGAGGGATTCAAGATTGTTAGTGGAGCATAAGACGTTTTGCCTGCAAATACACAATCAATACACTTGATAGAATAATCATGTGAAGTGTTTTGAGACTTTTGATTAAGTAATAAGGCGCTATGTCAAATGCAATGATTATTGTTATTTTATTAGGAAAGGAAGAAATCAATTAGGCTTGATAATCATGCTCATTGCCAAATCTATTTATCTACCCACTTCTTGCTGTACCTCTCAATGTTTTTCTGTTACTGTGTCTGGTTGTCTATTGAACCATTTTAGTTTTAGTCACCTTTCCTAAAATCATGGAAACTACAGTACTGAAGAAGGTCTTGTCAAGCTCATCAGGCCTGATTCTTGCTGTTCTATTGGAGCTACCTACTCTAATCCCAATACCCTACTTTTCTCTCATACTCTTTCATAATGTTTGTCTTCAGAAAAGCAGAAGGCTTAACAATTGTTCAGAGAATGGTTGCACTTTAGATGTCCAACACCCCCAGCACTGTGTTGCAGTGTCACCTTAGACTATATGAGTTCCAAAAAGATGAGAGTGCTACCAACTGAGCCAGGCTAACACTAAAACAACAATGCAGAAACTATTCTATTTAACAACCCCCGCAACTCCTCACCTAAGATACATTTTTTGCTCTTATGTAATCTGTGTGGTTCATAACTCATGGTTTACACTCAGTAGTGCATGACTCCACAACTGGCCAACAGAACCATTCACCCTGGTGTTAGATAATTATCAACATGTAAATTTATTTAGCAGGATTTGCTTTTAAAGCTTCTGGGACTGTTCTCTCACACATTCTCTCATGCACGGTCAGAACATGCTCAGAAATTCCCCCTACAATTCTTAAAGGCTCTAGTATGTAAGCATAAGTTCCAGAAATTTAAATCTTGCCTGAAAAAACGTGGACTCCTGTAGGTCAGTGGTTAGAGCACTTGCCTCACAAGCGAGAGACCTGGGTTCGATTCCCAACAGGGCGAAACGTTGGCCAAGCTTCCTTACTCCACACTCCTGTTTACCTAGCAGTAAGTAGGAACCCAGTTGCTAGTTGATTGATGGATCGCTTTTCCGGGGGCAATAATTCCTTCAAAAAAGTTAAATAAATAAAAAATAAAAATTTGTCGCTCAATCCATGACTATTTGTGGGACACTGCTGTGCGCAATTGGCTGCCATGTTTCACCCACAAAACATACAGTCAATTCAGTTATCAGTATATTCTGTGAAGCGCCTTGAGACGCTTGAAGACGTGGTAAAGCACTGTATCAAATGCAAAGATTATTATTATTATTACTCAATTTTTGAACAACAATCATGTTCATATAACTATTATAACTATTCTATTATATTATTGCTATTCTTGTACTTTGATCATGATGAATAATCTGACAATAGTTTGAAAATGTTCAGAATGCATTCTTTTATGCTTTCTTGTGTTCCTTCTGAGATTAATGTTTTTTAAGTATTTTCCGTAGATAGGACCCTCGATTTCAACCATATTAGGACATTCAGAGTTTACAAATCACATTGGAATTTCTCACACATGTAAACATGTCAAGCACCCAATTGACAGCCGTTTCTTGCAGTACATAATAAAACTGGGAAAATTAGGATGTATTTTGTAGGTGAATGAATGATGAATAATAATGAATTACATCATTAACAATTGTGTGCCCAGGTGGGAGATACAATTGATTCAGTAGCCTCTGGTTAGGGAGAGAAAAATCAATAAAAATGTCACTGAAACACATCAAAGCTTTTTTGGGGAGAAAAGTTGGAACTATGGTCCTACGGATACATTAGAATACATTAGAATATACAGAAACACCCATTCGATCCAACTGGTCTATGCCGGTGTTTATGCTCCACATGAGCCTCCTCCTGCCCTCCTCAACTAAGCCTTCAAGCATTCCTTTCTCCCTCATGTACCTATCTAGCTTTCCCTTAAATACATCTATGCTATTTGCCTCAACAACTTCTTGTGGTAGCATGTTCCACATTCCCACTACAACAACAATAACAACTTGGATTTATATAGTGCCCTCCACGCCGGACAGCGTCTCAGAGCACTTTACAGTAACGGATCCCGGGACCGAGCCAGGGGGAGGGGGATGGGGGAAGGTGACCAAATTGCTGCGCGCAATTGGTTGCCGCATTTCACCTACAAATATACAGTCAATTCACTTTACAGTCTATTCTGTGAAGCGCTTTGAGACCTCTAGAAGATGTGAACTGCGGCTGTATCAAATACAAGGATTATTATTATATTTTCAAGAGAAGAGTCCAAGCATGTTCAGCCTTTCCTGATAGGTATAACCTCTCAGTTCTGGGATCATCCTTGTGAATTTCCTTTGCACCTTCTCCAGCGCCTCTCCATCCCTTCTATAATGTGAGGACCAGAACTGTACACAGTATTCTAAATGTGGTCTAACCGATGTTCTATAAAAGTTTACCATAACTTCTCTGCTTTTCATTTCTATCCCTCTAGAAATGAACCCCAATGCCTGGTTTTTTTTTATGGCCTTATTAACCTATGTTGCTACTTTTAGTGAATTGTGTATGTATACCCCAAGATCACTTTGCTCCTCTACCCCATTTAGGTTTTTATTTTCCAGGATGTATGTGAATTTCTTATTCCTTTCCTCCAAAATGTACCACCTCACATTTTCCTACATTGAAATGCATTTGCCATTTAAATGCCCATTCAGCAAGTCTGGATAGGATCAGTGTCCAGGCACCCCCATTAGGCTGAACCCCCATGACATTTGTGGGGATCAAATAGCCTTCCACCACTCACTATTAAATTACAGACATGAAGAAAGACAATTCGGATGAGATGCTGGAGGGTTTCTGGTTCCAATAGAACCATATCACAGGGAAGGAAAAAGGAGGAAAGAGAAATTTGGAGAAGTGGGAGAGAAAAAATTGTCATTCAAAACTTTAGTTGAAAAGATTTTTTTGGCTATTGTTGCATTGAATCTTTAGTTTTGACACAATTTTAGTTGTTTCTGAGGGAGACCCGAGCATGAAAAACCACCAGATGGCAATAAAGAGCAAGCATGTAGGAGGGGAGTGAAAGAAGCATGTTTCTTATGCAAAGGTGTGTGGCATGAACAGTTGGTTGGTAAGTTGTTTGGGGAGAGACACATTCAGAGGAGACCA